ATCATGGAGAGCAGAATTTGGCGCTATTTATCAAGAACACATATGAGCCATGTTTGATTGAACTATGGAAACACGTGAAGACCCTGCTCGGGACTTTGCTGAAAAAAACCTGCTCATCTTGATCACACCTTAGTGTTATTCAGGGATGAATTGGCTGTATTCTTATTGATTTTATCATTCTTTTGAAACTTGATTGACCAGATTTGACATTTGTTGTGAGCTGTTTCTTCAGCTTGTTAATAATAATGCTTATGTATCCTAAAAAGTCATTCAACTTTATGCACAAGTATGTATTCTTTCTATAATGCGAGATGAATTGGACGTCAGCCTGAAGAGCGCTTTACTTAGCGCTAAAAACTAAAATGAAACTTTTTCTTTGATACTTAGAGCAAAATTGAGTAACTTTTCTGCTATAAAAATAGCTTAAGTAATTAACTGCAACAAAATAAAAGTTAAGAGTCAAGTTTTTGTTTGTCCATATTGTCTCGTGGTAATATAGGCAATTTCTGATACAGATATTGAGTAACTTTATTCATTTATATATTAATAATAAGTACGTACTTTAAACATGTGTGATTTTAACTTTCGTTGAGATTCCGAGACCAATAGTTCAACCTTGAAAATGAAATACAAATTGACACTTGCTTAAAGTTTAATATGTTTTTGAGAAATTTGGAGTTAAATATTATGAGTACTGAGCTTAAGAAAGATTTTTTTTTTTGAAATTGACGGAAAAAAATGTGTCAAGATTCAAAGTGGGACCTAAGTATAGAAGCTGAACGGCGTCGTTTTCAGGAGTGACACTCTGTTTTAACAGCACAATTTGGTATTATCCAAAATGAAATCCGCAAAAATATCTTAGAACTTTTAGATTGACAAAACTTAGGGTTTAGCATTTGGAAATTGAGAATGGCGACGCCGACGACCTCACCGAACTCTGAATCCGATTCCGACGTTGAAACAAGTCCGGTGGCGAACCCGTCACCCGGACAGAATCCTCAATTCACCTCTGATGCGTTAACCACTGCGATTCCGTCTACTCCAGTCGTATGCCTCCTTAGGTTCGCCGGTGACTCTGCTGCTGGAGCCTTCATGGGATCCATTTTCGGATACGGTAATTGTTTATGCAATTTTCTCCCTTAATCTGTCTATTATCGACGAGTTAATAGTTTGAATTTGGTTAGTTTGTTAGTTCAGCTGGATTTTTTGTGGAAATAGCTGAAATGAGTTACTTCTGATTGTTATTTTCGTTTGTTTTCTATACGGAGTTATCTAGAACTTATTCTTTTGTTGTTTTATGCATTTTCCTCCGCCAATATGTCTATTGTCGACTCGTTAATAGGTGCAATTTGGTTAGTTTGTTAGTTCAGCTGAATTTTTTGTGGAATAGTTGAAATGAGTTACTTCTGATTGTTAATTTTGGGATTGTGTTCTCTACGGAGTTATATGAAGCTTATGTTTTGTTGTTTTATGCATTTGACAACCGATGTCTTTTACCAGTTGTAGATATTCGTAGTAGAATTGTGTATCAACCTGTTACCTGTGTAGTGCTGCAGCTGACCTGATATAGCAGTTTTATGTTCACCTTCACCAGTTTGTTTGTTGGAGTCTCACAGTCTCTCGGGAGACGAATCTGTGCTTTTGCAAATTATTATATTTGGCTCTATTGCTATAGTCTGTTTCTCACTCGTGTATGATTGTTGGGGGGTGTACATGAACTATAGTTGTGTATATTAGTACATTATGAGTGTGACAGGAGGTGAAGGCTTCTCTGAATTCGACTACTGATTTCTCGTATCTTCTTCATCCTTTATTTTGTTTGATGACTCACTACAATAACTGAGTTGTGCGTTATCCTTTTATGGTAACCTCTAGTTTCTCCAAGTGTAATGAGCGTCAACCGCCCTATATTTTGAAGTTGTTTGTTATTTCTTCTGTTTGTTTGTCTAGTCCATATTTCCTTTAACAAATAACATCCTTCTGTTGCTACTGCCGACCTTGCATTTCGGGGAACCCTTCTTTCAATACTTTGCTTCTATAAGATTAAATAGCTTCTGGGGATCATAAATGGAATTCTTTGAGTGCAAGGGAAACATTATAAGTTGGTGATGTGCTCAATTTTGCTCAATGTGCTGTTTCAGGCTCAGGATTAATAAAGAAGAAAGGTTTTAAAGGATCCTTTGGGGAAGCAGGAGCTTCGGCAAAGGTATTTCAATCTTTGATCAATGCCTTAATGATATTTTTGGCAAACTACAGTATAACCACTGTTACTGCTTCCCTCTTTTAATATGTCTAATTGTGACTTGGTTCATTTCCCCTTTCTGTTGTCTAGACTTTTGCAGTTTTATCAGGAGTTCATAGTTTAGTTGTCTGTTTCTTGAAGAGAATACGGGGAAAAGATGATGGTATGACACACACTTTGAACAGCCAGATTCGGAAACATCTTTTATTTTCATTGACTTTCTCTTCTTTCTACAGTTATCAATGCTGGAGTAGCTGGATGTTGCACTGGTCTTGCCCTAAGTTTTCCAGGTACTTCCAACATTTCCCACTTCATAACATAATTATCAGGACTATACCCTCCATTTTTGATTCTCAATTCCTTGAAGTCTTCTTAATTGCCATCTTACGCATTGATTAAAATGATGTTAGTACCCAATCAAGTGTAGATAGAAACAAGTACTGTCATGGTTACACATGTTTGCTGTGTTAGTGTGCCCCTTCAAACCTGAATAAAGCCATGAAGTCTAATTGTATTCATTTGATAATTGTGCAAATGGTGTAAACTTCTGTGATTATTATCGTTAGCTTAGTGTCTTCTCTAACTATCATTGTCAGTCCCAAACCTACAGTCCTTCTTTGCGGCAATATCTGAATTGGTTGGGAGAAAGTAGCATACGACTTACATGACAAATTTAAGGAGGTTTTCAGGTAGTTGTGTGGTGGTTATGGGGCATGTCATGGAAAAATTGTGCTTAACTCATTTTTTAAGAGCACAATTTAGCCTGCTAGAGCTAATAAGACCTACACTTGATGCATAAATGGAGAATTTTTAGGGCTGCAAATAATAGCTTCGGATTCTGGTTAAATAAGGTGGGAATCTGGGAGATATAAAGATGTTACCAGTCTCACCCCCATAATGAATTGGAAAAATGTGTTCGGATTAAGAGAATATGAAAGCAAGGATGTGAAAAAGTAAAGATGAGCAGGAAGGGGTGGGTGTTACAACTGTGTCTTTCCAACATGTAGATTTTTTCCAGCATGTCATTATCGTACCCATGACTAAACTCAAAAAGCAAATAGCTAGATTGGGTGATATTCATGTATTTCAACAATGTCGTGAAGTGCATATAAGTTTCAGTTATGAATTTAAATTCTCCTTATCTGCTTTATAGAAGCATCTTTCTTTGTTTTCTTTGAGTTCTTGCTTCTTGTTAAATTATATGCAAGTTCATGAAGTGCTGCTCATAGTAAGGTTTCTAATTTTCTATATTCGAAATTCTTAACCTCATTCTCGTTTAACTTGTCTAGTCATTTTTCTCTCCTCATTCAATTGATTGCGCTAGAATGTTTGTCATTCCTTATAGTGAACTAGAGTTATAATTAGTCTTTCTTTGTTGATGATGCGTCTCAGGTGCACCTCAGGCTCTACTACAGAGTTGTCTCACCTTTGGGGCATTTTCTTTCATCATCGAAGGTCTTAACAAGCAGCAACCTGCATTAGCTCTTACATCTCACATGAATGTCAACAGTAGACAGCAATTTGGTGTGCTTGCTCCTTTATCTCTACCTCTACCAAATGAGCTCAAGGAATCCTTTTCATTCTTCTGCCAGTCCCTTAAAAATCGTCGACATGGCTCCCGTTAGATAGTGAAGAAATGCAAAAAAATGTCGTTTTCAACCATTTGGCACTATTATCAAGTTTTGTAAATTGTAATCGACTTACCTTTATCCTGCTTTAAGAGTGATAATTCTTGCTGTGTCTCTTTTATTAATACAAAACAATTTTGCAAGGGACTATAATTTTCTCCTTGAAGGTTCATATCCATTTTCATGGTGAATTGTTTCTTAGGCTTGTGATGTTGAAAGAGTACCCCGTTAATTTACCCTAGTGGTACTCTTGTTCCTCGACTTATCTGCATTTGGTGTTTACACAAATCGAAGTATGTTTAAAAATTAGAGTGAAAGATTACTCAAAATCTGGCATATCACTTGAAATGCTTAGTATTGGACCTGAAAATTATAATGCATGCTGCCTGAATATTGGAGTTCGGAGCTTAAAGGGTATAAAATATTAACATAAATATCAAAACGGTATATAAAATTTTATATTAATCAAAACGGCAAAATCGCTAGATCAACAGTGATTTAATCCACCGGAAAAAGTAAAATCGCTGCTACTGTAGCGATTTTGCAAAATGTGATTTTTTTTTTAAAAAAAAAATTAAATCGCTACCTAGGCAGCGATTTTCAATTTTGTTTTTAAAAAAATGACATGTAGGACATGTGTGTCTATTTGTTCAACTTTATACAAGTTTAAATGTCTACTTGTGCACACCCAAAGTTGAAGGACATAAATGTAATTCGAAACCAAGTTAAAGAACATATTTATGTATTACGTCTAATTAAAAAGTGGTGTCATAATCAGTAATTAATACCCATGAAACATAACAAAAAGATCTTTTCTTGGCTTCAATTTCTTAATTTGGCATCTTTTCAGAAATATACTATGACGAGTGATTGAATGTATATATGATACAACACGTCTTACCCTTAAAATTATTTTAATTTTGTGAGCCTCTAATCCCAAATTAACGAAAGCATATAAGAATAAAATAGGAAAAGATGTCTACATTTCTATTTCCAAAATAATAAAATGATTGAAAAGAGATTTGAAGGGATGTATAAATGGAAATTGTGTCTTAAAAGGATTTTGTAGGATACACAAATAATTAATTTTAAAAGAGAGAATATATTATTTCCTTTTCCATTAAATCTTTTCTTAAAATAAGATTGTAATACTAATAATACTATGCTAATTAATCTCTTAAAATTAACTGAACATTATCAGAAAAAGAAGAAGATCAATGAAGCCATTAAAATTCATCATTCGATTTTTAAGTGATTGCTTTGCATCAGATTCATTTCCTCGCCCCAATGAATCCAATCTTGCTTTCATGGTAAATTTCTTTCTATCGAGTATTCAATAGTGATTCGAAACTATTAATTATTACTCGAGTATTCAAGAGAATAAGACATTATATATTGTCTTTCTCAAAATCTACTCGATTTCAAAATTATTATACACCCGAGAAACACGTTATTAAGAATCCATTAAAATATACAACTCATTCGTCGTAATTTAGTAATTTTTCATATTTATATACTATATGTTTCATGTAGAAAAAAAATTATTTCACATGATTGATGTAAAACTTTATTTAATTCTTTGTTGCAGGTTTGTGTAATTAAAATTAAAGTTCGTTCAAGTGGTTGGCAAAAGGCAGTCAACAGAGTATTGAGAAGCACCAACGGTACGGTATACTTTTACCTTTATAATCACTAATAATGATTTAACACGAATTTATCTTATTTTTCAGATAAATCAAATTTCACTCCAATTATAGTTTTGATGAAAAATGCTTAGATATACGTATGAACATATTAATTAGAAAAAAAAATTATATAAAAAACGATGAAACTAGCTTTGATAAACTCAATTGTTGTTCAGACATGTGAAAAATGAAGTACATGGTAATTAAAAACGAAAGTTATATGAAAATAAGTCAAAATAACTTTCATGAAAGACAAAATAAGGGAGATAAGTAAAGTGTGGAAGATTAATCATAGTTTGAAAAAGAATGGAAAAATTAGACTGGAGATGACATAATTTAGTGATATTAGATAGGTAAATATAAAAGTCGAAAATTAGAGTAGAATAGTAAGGCCAAGGCTAGCTCACTCTCAACTTCTCCTTATTAGTACTCCGTATGTGTTATCCCATTACTAATAGAAATGGCCAAATACATAAGCAGATACCTAAATTTGTTGGGTTTTTTCCCTCAGGTACTTCAATTATGTAATTTTCCTATTGAATTATTGAATTTCCATAATTTGTTCCGTTTAAACAAACACCGTTGTTTGATGTGGAATCAGATTTGTGAGGGGTATTGATAGACGATACATATGTTGTTCCACGACTCATTAGTCCAATTGATAGTCAAAATATTCGAGAATAATTGTATTTTACTGAAGCCATTTGAACACATTAGAAAACAAATAAGGCTAACACGGTTTGTCTTCATTCATTTAATCAAAATTATTACAATTCGAACACAATTAAGGCATTTACAATAAAAAAGTCGATCAAAATCAACCAACAGTGTTTTAAAGGAACAAATTATGTGTGGTTCAATGATCAATAGAAAAATGACGTAGTAGAGGTACCTGAGAGAGAAAACCCAACAAGTTTAGAGATCTGTTTATGTATTTGGCCAATAGAAATTATATCGAATACGTTATTGTTATCAACTTCTCGTTATTAGTACTCCGTATGAGTTATTTCATTACTGATAGAAATTATATCGAATACGTTATTGTTAATTACAGGAGTTCGTCAATTCAAATTTTCAGAAGGTGGAAAAGTAACAGTATCAGGGATTGTAGATCCAACTCTTCTAATGAAAAATTTAGCTAAATCTGGCAAATCTGCAGAATTAGAATGGATTCAATATGGTCAATGTTCAAGCAATTTGTTTCTTCCTCCAAAACCCCCAATCAACGGATTTCAAAATCAAGGACCATTTCGTAATTTCCATCATTCCAGGTTTGCTCTGCACCACCACGGCGGTCACTACGGCCTACCTCCGCCGCCCTACCCACCTTATCCCATGGTTGCGCCGCCGCCGGTGTTTTATTAGTCTGCTTCTACAGAAGGGCATATAAGTAATTGCAACATACTATGTAACTAGACTCAAATCGAAATCTATTTATGTAATTTTTTTAGTATCTGCATTGATAGCTCGATTATATTAAGAGCTCGATTGTAATTGAAACTTATGTGTTGCGAAGCACACTTTTTAGGGCCGTGCTTCTGACTTGAGTTTTTGATTTTTGTAAATTAAACTCGAGATTTTTAATTAATTAATTATTTTTTTATAATTTAATATTGTTCTTTATCAATGCTTTTTGACTAGTTATTGTAATTTGTAAGTGTTATTATATGAAGACTTATTTATAGTAGTTTTGTTGATATTTTTAGTTCGTTCTCTTATTTTATTTTGTTTACTAGTATTTATTTGTTGTAAATGTGAATTTATTCATCACTAGAATTATTTTTATTGTTGAGTTAAATTTACTTGTTCTAAGAGTCTATATGCAAAAGTGTGTGAGGATTTTGAATATAACTAATGGGAGAATTTTTTTATTTTATTTTTTGTTTTTCTTATAATCTCAATTTTAATCATTTGATTCATTATACGGAGAAAAAAACTGAGATAGTATTAATCACATGTGTATAGAATAAAAAAAGAAATATGAAGTTAATATTATAAAAAAAAATTAAATCCTTTGCAAACATTAATAGTGAGTAGATCTATTTTTAAAAATAAATAAATTTGATATTATAGATTACAAATCCAATTCTTTAACATGAAGATTCTTTTGGATATGTTTTCATTTTTTTTAACGATGATTTATTTTTGTCAATAATGGATAAATGACGCAAATCTTTTTCTTTTTTTAGGAAAATTAGTTAAATGGAAATAAAATAATCCATACTATAGCATAAAAATAAATGGGAAGAAAAATTTATCCCAAAAATAGCTACAAGAACAATTAAGTATATCTCTCTTTTTGTCTACTTTTGGAGATTTTCATTTTATCATAGGGTAATAAATATTTTTTACGTCGTAAATATTGCTTAATCATAATTTAGCAAAAAATATATATACGAAATACGCATGCATGTCATGGACGCATGGTGTGAGCCTTTAAAATGATTAATTTTTTGCATGATGACAAGTTTAATTTCATTAATGTATTTACGAGGCATGATTAATTAACTGGATAGTAAATTCTAAATATTTAATGATTTTATATTCCCACACCACAATGTTATACGAAATCTTGGAGATTATATAGTTATTGTGGATAAACAATATCCAAGATCTTTTTTCCATATAATTAAAGAATGATAATTGATAATTCTATTGTCTTATAAATATCTTCAAATATTCTTTAATTGTTTTACAATAAATATAATTCATCATTTCAAAGTTTGACATGAATACAATGTCCTTCTCTACATTAGAACATCAATTCATGATGCAAAGTTATCCATTCATGGTATGGTATACACAAATTTGTTTATCTTCGTCATTTTTTTATTTTAGTTTCTGCGTTAAAGATTGAAAACAAATTTTCTATAAAGCTTGAGTATATTCAACCTTCTCAAAGCTCATGTATATGATTGTATTGTATTTTTTTTTTTTTGTTGGTATGTACTTACAAAAAAAAAAATTGTGGCATTTTTGTCTAATTGCTAAGTTCATTTTCTTTTATTTAATAATATATGTATTTAACATTTTTTTTAATTTTCTCATTGTTCTTTTTTATTTTTTTAAAAACAGACTTGCATTTTGTGGGTGAACAATCGCACTTCAGGATGGCAAAAAACTGTATCCAAAGTCTTCAAAAATGTTTATGGTACATACATTTGCGCTTTTAATTATATATATATATTTTTTATGTTAATATATGTGAGTTTGAATAGCATACTTTGTGGATATTTTTTTTTAAATTTTTATCGGAGTCATAATTAATCTTTAATTTGAGTCGTGAGTTATAGTAGGTGTTTCTAAATTTTTTAAATTTTATTTTAAAAAATTAGATAGTTTGACTCTCGTAATCTGAATCTACAACATGAGGATTGCGTATATTGAGTTGAAATTATGAATTCACGTTTATTTGATATTGTTTTTTTTAAAAATTTATTTTAGGTATCACGAATTTTAGAATGAACGGAGATGGGATGATTGAAGTTTCTGGAAATGTGGATCCAAAATTACTTCTAAAAAGGCTATCAAAAGCAGGGAAAAAAGCAGAATTATGTTGGTTTCAATTTGGTGAATGTTCAACTAATCTTTTTGTTAATCAATCTAATTATGGAAGACAATTAGGATATAATGGAGGACAATTAGGATATTATGGAGGACAATTAGATGGTAGATTTCTTCATTATGGAGATATTAATAATCCTCAATTTAATCGACGATCCAAGAAAAAATTTCAATTTTTAGATTATGATTCTAAATATGAATGCACCGTGGCGGCAGAGGCACGGGAACGTCGCCGCCGTCGAGCTTCGACAGCGGCGATCGCCGATGAAGGTGTCTCCTATTGTTGTTTGATGTGATATATAGTTTGATGTTTGATGTGATATATAATTTGATGTGATATATAGTTCGTATTGAGTTGTTGGTTTAAATATAATGTTCATTATAATTATTACTTTAACTTTTTTTATATGTTAGGTAATAACGAAATGTCTTATTGTGTAAAGGCATATTTAGATCGCGTCGTTATCTTATATAATTTGGAATACATTATACTCGTATTTAGATATAGCCCTATATACTTCAATATTGTCTTTAAAAGACCAAAATAACCTTCATATTTATACTGTACTCTAAAAAATAAATCAATTTCTTCTCAAACATATAATATACAGCGCGTAATTCGACAAAATGATATCTACGGAGGATAAAGCGTACGTCAAACCTTACCCCTAGTTCAGATGTAGAATAATTATTTATGATGGACCTTCGGCTCAACAAAAACAATACAAAAAGAGAATAAGCTAAAGTGAAAGGATAACAAACATTGTGAATAGTAACTACAACAAAATAATACGATAGTAACTACAACAAAATAATCCGATAGTTGAAAGTAATCAAAAATCATGTATGGTCAAATTTTATTGGCACCAAATGTTTATACCGAACCAAATAATTAAAGATGAATTAACCATGGTTAATTTTTAAATGTGCTTTTCTACTGGTTTGTATAGTAGAAAGACCATAAAATTCAGCCAAATAATCCAAAGCTTCTGAGTTATTGGTACAAATTTTCCACAATGATTCAACTTCACCCTTAGAGACAGTTCCCCACTTCTCACAATCATTGAGGAACTCCAACAAATTGGTATAAAATGAATCATAGTTCATTAGAAGCAAAGGAACAGGAAGTTGAGAGCCAATTCGTTCGAGTTGAATCAAAGCCATGATCTCAAAAACCTCGTCGAGGGTACCAATTCCTCCAGGAAGCGCGATAACAGCTGTCCTTTCAGAGCTTCTACATCTCACAACAGCATCCACCAGCCCGTGTTTCCTTGCGGAGAAAAACCTGAGTGCAAAACAGTTGATGAACTCAAGAAGCTATAAGGGGACTCTCCCTTTGACTGCTGGTCACGAAGTGAATTATTCGTGTAAGAAACGAATGACATGTTTGGTAGCATTTTAATTGTTATGTATGAAATTCGGCACACCAAGTATGGTGCTTGGTTACCAGCTTACAACCAAACGGCCCCTAAGAACATAGGAAAAACCATGCATTTGATGCTATGTTTACCTGCATGTAAGATAACTCTCTGATGGTAAGTATGGATGAAAATTTGTAGCTGTCCATTCCCCTGCTTCTTTACCTATCTTGAACCCGCCAACGGGCTTCCCTGCTTGTAGAGCACCTTGTGTGGCAGCATCCATTAAGCCTGGCCCAGCCCCGGACCATGTCGTACAATCTAATAGAGTTGCAATCTGCCGAACAAGTAGTATTTAGAAAACAATAGTCACAGATTCTTCTCCGAATAGTATTATGTCCTCCGTTTTAATTTGTTTGTCTTACATTCCTTTTAGACCGTCTAAAAAAGAATGTCTTTTCTTTTTTGGTAACTCATTAATTCACGAGGCATATTCACCAAAACATTGAAGGACATGGTACATTCTACATATCTTTAGTTTAAGACCACATGATTCGAAAGTCCTTTTTCACTTTCTTAGAACTCCGCGTAAGTCAAAATCAGAGAAAATCGAAACGGAGGGAGTACTTTTTTATACAAGCTACTTCATCTTTCTTTTTCTATTACTTCACCCAAACTTTGAGAAAGTTGACTAACCTTGTTCCCTAATTCAAAGGTTTTTATGTAGTGTGGATGTCCAGGACCAATCCTTGAAGATCCTAAATACACAACACCACGACCAAGCCTGTGTATTAATTCATAGCATTGCTCTATCTCTTTCTTGACCTGCATTTTCAACAGATTGTTAGTCTCAAAAACCTCAAAACCAGATATCTTGTGTAACCGAGATGCAATAAAAGTAAAGCAGCAATGCATCTAAAAGAAAACTGTGTGTTAAAAACTCAGATATTTAACAATTCACACAGAGTAAATGTCATTGAAAGTAACCAAACATAATTTAGTGACTGATTGCTATATCTAAAAACTAAAGAAGCACTTGACTGGAAGCATGTGATTCTCAAGCTTCCACCACTAACCAGTCAAATATAGACATGGTGCATAGCTTCTCATATAGGTTCTTCACGTCTAATCAAGCTGAGTCCATGCTGAGCTATTCAGCTGTTAGGCGTCAATTAGTCTTACATCAGCAAACGTTAAAGAAGAAAAGGTGGTGGGAGTACTAGATTCCTTTGAACCGAAAATCATGTAACCAAGATAAAGGATGCAAACAACAACAATCTTGACCGTTTGCAATGCTTCCAAATAGTAAAAAGGAATCAGAACTCGTCTTATTGAAAAGACGAAGAAAAGCCATTATTCAATCTTTCCTTTTTCTGGAGGATAGAATGGGTAAGGGCAAGTAAACTAATGGAAGAATGCTGCTAGACGTAAACAACTGATTGATTGTCGCGATATATCACTTGTTAGTTATTTAGTCCAAAGTGAGCTGCATCAACAATGTAATATAACTTGGGAAAACAGAATGAAGATACTTTCTCCAATCCACAAACAAATGATCGTGGTGTTTCACATTGAATTCTTTCCAGTTTTCCTTCTTCATTTCAGAGGAAGCATGTTCTTGAAAAGATGGATAAATTTAATAAACACTTTCGAAATTGAGAAAAATAGGACTCTATCTGGACAC